ACAACTAGGGGGAAGAGAGGTCATCCTAAATCTACAAAGGATTCCATAACAGCCCTGTAGTCTACCCTTTAATGGGGGGGAGGGAACAAATGAGTAATTAAAACTATCATTTCATGTAGGATCATGCTATGAAACACTGGCATGGCAAAGCAATAGAGTAAGTGGGGGTGAGGAGTGTTTTTAGATATGAAAGCAGAGACCTGAATAAACAATAGCCTTCAAAAAGATTTCTCAGACTTAGTCTCATTCCCCTCAAATCCACTATCTACCCGGATTCAGCTGGGAGTGGTGCCTTCCTTATTTTACCCCTTGAATTCCACAGTACTGCTGATTCTTCAGATATACCATGCTCTTGTACCTCCTGTTTTTGCCAGTGATTTGCTCTTCCCACTTAGAAAACTCCTACTCATCCTACTACACTTGGCGCAAGTGACTCTGTAAAACCCTCCCTCATCCCGCCTTCTAAGCTATTCAGTGCCCCTCTTCAGCTCCTTCATTACCAGGTACACAGCAGTTCTACTAGGCAGATGTCTACCAGCCTGCACCCTAACAATCTAGGTTCACACTGTATCCCCCACTGGACTGTGAGCCTCCTGAAGACACAGTCTACTCACCTTCAGATTCTCACCCCCTAGCCCAGACACCAAAGAAGTATCTGATAAACAAAGGCTGCTGTCAATGAGGACTATCAGACTGTGTCTGACAGAAATGAAGTCGACGTTGGGCGCCTGGGTGGCTCGGTTGGTTAAGCGACTGCCTTCGGCTCAGGTCATGATCCTGGGACTCTCCTGGAGTCCCAGGATCGAGTCCCACATCGGGCTCCCTGCTCAGCGGGGAGTCTGCTTCTACCTCTGACCCTCTTCCTTCTCGTGCTCTCTATCTCCCATTCTCTCTCTCTCAAATAAATAAATAAAATCTTAAAAAAAAAAAAAGAAATGAAGTCGATGCATATATGATTCTCTGATGCCATTCTACACACAATAGCTTCTACTTACATACCTAAATCTGACTTTTAATCACTGACTCATCAAATGCGTACCCAGCAATTTGTGCCAGGAGGTGGGGGCATAGCTATGAAGAAAGGGATATGGCATCTTTGCCCCATGAATATATTCTCTACCAGAGAAACCCGAAGAAAATCCTTAATTACTCAATTGCTTGCTTACTACAGAATAAGTCCTCTGAAGGAGAAATAACATGAGTATATTTAACAGGGACACCTTGCCCAGTGCAGGGGTCAGGAAAGACCTCTTGGAGAAATGACAATAGAATTGGGCTCTGAAGGATCAGTGGGGACAAACAAGGAGGTCAAACACTCCTGACAAAATATATTACACGTTCAAAGGTTCTCAGACAGGATGAAGCATGATGGGTTAGATGCTAGTATAGTTGAAGAACAATGACGGGGAGAAGATCACAAGAGGAAAGTGACGTCATTAATTCATAACATGGTTGAAGACAATGTAGGATACTGATCTTAAGAAGTAGCACATATTCTAATATTCCCTTAGCAGTGATTTGGGTTTGTTTTATCTCTGTCAACAATAAGAGAGGAAATGGAGGAAAAACATCAATAACAATATCATAAATGAGTCGCCTTAAACCTCTCTAACACATTCTGCCATTCCATGGGTCTTAATATATTTGTGTCATAATTGGTAAGAACCATTAACACAAGAATCAGGTATTACAATAAAAGATATATTTGGTGCTGTGGGAACATAGACTCATTTGTATACTTGTATTATAAGACTGTAAATTCCTTGAGGGCTGGTGTTCTTACTCATTTTCATATTCAGCTCGGCAGCTGGCGCAGTGCCTTACTCCCTGTATGTCCTCAAACAGTTACTGAGCGAATCTCAGTTTGCTTGCATGACTCCCAGTTTATGTTACTAACTGGCACACACCCTGATCTGAGGTTACCTGTCAAAAGCCTCCCTGAGAGACACAGAGATTGAACACCAAAACAGCTCAGGTATTTTAGGACAAAAGGAATTTAAAACAACCAAAATGGAGGAGATATCATTTTGTTATTTTAAGATGCAGGCTAAACACACCACTGATTAAATATATTGAAAAAAAAATTGTAACCTGAGGAATACGAAGAAAACGCAAAGACCAAGTTTCCTGGCATCTAAAGGAGGGGGAAAGAGAAAAACAAAAACAACGTCCAAAGTTTTAGACTTCCTGACAGCAACAACCAGAAAATAATGTTTGGATGGTCAAGACAACAGGACTACGGCCGTGACTGCAGGAGAAAGAAACAGTGAGCTGGGGAGAGGAGGTGCAGGCTGGGACTGGAATGCACAGTAGACTGTGCCAGGGTCCTGTCCGTCAATCTTTCTCCAGAAAATGAGCAAGAAGTACTTCCTGCTGGCTCAGAGCCATGCCACTTCTGTGCTGTATCTCAGTTCTTTGTTGTAGAGCTTGTAGATCTGCCAACATTATGTGCTCCAGCGGCTCACCAGGGCTCGGGGAGCATTATTTTTAGACTCCATTATTTTAAGGTAAAAGAAGCACAAAGTCTTGTGGGGGGTTTTTTTGGGAAAATATCTAGTATTTCAGTTCCTACAAGCAAAGTTTCCAAGACTTGGGGTGACTGGGTGGCTCAGTCGTTAGGAGTCTGCCTTCCAGCTCAGGTCATGATCCCAGGGTCCTGGGATCGAGCCCCGCATCGGGCTCCCTGCTCGGCGGGAAGCCTGCTTCTCCCTCTCCCACTCCCCCGCTTGTGTTCCCTCTCTCGCTGTGTCTCTCTCTGTCAAATAAATAAATAAAATCTTTAAAAAAAAAGTTTCCAAGACTCAAGAAAGAATACAAACTTTTCAAAAAAGGATAGCCAAGGAGAAAACTCACTATTAATTGTCTTATGAAGAAATCTTACCCTTCCACAAGGACACCACCACCAGTAAGGGAGGTGAATGGTCTTGGAATCTGACTCTTTTTCTTCCAAAAGTGAGATATGGTCCTATTGCCACATAAAAACTTTGCTTCCTAATATTTTGAACTTCCTGTCATGAATGACCTGCTATCTAGGTTTTGATAAAAACAATCTCTGTGGTCAATGACCTAATCTCCAAATCCAACAAAACACAACACTTCCAGTCGGTTATTTCCCTAGGAACACTCCCTTGTCCCTACTTCCATACCACCTACTTCCCAGACTTGTGTTTGTCCCATCATGCCAGCTTTTTGCTTTCTGACCCCCTTTAAGTTGGGGGGAGGGGTGAATATTCATTGTCCAAATCCTCAGTCTTTTTTTTCTCTCCATATAATCTCTATCAGAGAACACACCTATTTCTCCAGACTCTGTCTATGTCAACAGTTCTCAACTGGGAGTGATTCTGTCCCCCAGGGGACATTGGGCAATGTCTGGAGATGTTTCGGTTGTAAGAACTAGGGGTGTGGGGTGCTACTGGTATCTGGTGGGCAGAGGCCAGGGATGCTGCTAAACACCCTACAATGCCCAGGATAGCCCCCAACAACAAGGAATCATTGGCCCAAAATGTCAATGGTGCCACTATTTAGAAACTACATCTACACAGATGACTTTAGTTCATTTTTTCTTTCATCTGACTTGCTATGCCCAACACTCTGGGTGGGAAGTTTGGGGAAGGCAGAGGGGGACTGCAGATGCAGGCAACCATCTGAGATACATATGCCCTGAAAGAAAGAGCACCTATCTAGAGGAAATGAGCCAGGCCTTAGTTAAAACCAGACAAACTTTCTAACCACCTTTGGGGTATCTCCACATTCACATGTCCCAAACCAAACACTTTTATCATATTCCCTTCCACTCACCCTCATTACCATCTACTTCATTCCTCCTCTAATGTTCTCTATAATTTCAATCATATCCCCCCAAACACCAAGGCCAGAAATATTGGTAAAGTTAAACTTCTTCCTCTAACCTAATACTGAAATAATGGCCAAGATCTTGTGAATTCAGCCCGATTAGGTTTCCTACACTTATCCCTACTTCCTGTATCTACTACTTTTCTTCCCCACTGCCCTATGCTCAAGATGCCCTTTGGAGTCTAGTACTTTGTAACAAAGAAACATTTTATAGAGTTTCGTGGTTGTTGTTATTGTTTTTGAAGAAACTCATGTTGGGGAACCTGGGTGGCTCAGTTGGTTAAGCATCTGCCTTTGGCTCAGGTCATGCATGATCCTGGAGTGCCAGGATCCAGACCCACATCAGGCTCCCTGCTCAGTGGGAAGCCTGCTTCTCCCTCTAACCCTCACCCTGTTCTCGTGCTCTCTCTCACTCTCTCTCTCTTTCAAATAAATAAATAAAATCTTAAAAAAAAGTTTAAAGAAACTCATGTTGACGGCAATATGGGCGTAGTAGAAAGAGCATGTTTGGGGTCAAAAAACACAATCTGGAATCTTGGCTCTATTTATTAACTGAGTGGCCTTGAACCACTTACTTATTTCACTGAGCCCTGGTCTTTCTCTGTAAAAAAGACATAATACCTAAATAACAAGTTTGTTTGTTAGGATAACAGAACCTGAAATATCATAGATATTCACTATATGGGAGCCATTATATTATAATTGTGTTTAATTTACACATACCTCATAGGCTGTAGGTACTTAAATACTAAATTTGGAGTAGACTGAAAATATAAACCATAATTATAGAATTGTGTTTATGAAACTTGTTAGGCTCTCCTGAATCTTTTTCAGTATAAGCTAATTTTTAAGATTTCAATCCATGCTTCTTTGAAAAACTAACTTATGTCAAAAGAAAGGAATGGAGAATTTTAACAACAGTAACAATACTTTTTATTGTTATCATTTTATGTAAGTCAAGTCCGATAACATGCAGGGAGCATATTTTACAACACCAGAAAGTAGGCCCACTTTCATCCCTCTTAACCAAGTAAACTGCTATTAATTCACCGATTTAAAACGCTCCAAAAAGGTTTCACAGCAATGTAGCAACATATTCACTGTGGTAGGAACCCAGCAACAGAATGCTTATCACACAATGCACTTACTTGTTCCACGTAATAAAAGTTGCTCTCTGTGTTGAAATGCCAAGACCAACAATTTGATTCATCTCTATTCCTGCAGCTAAAAATAAAGATAGGTAAAACACATGTTTAGAAGCCAGTGAAGTTCTTCTTTACAATATTATAGCATGGGAAATAAATCATTCAATATAGTATTTAAGAAAAACATCTGGGTTTAGCATTTAGTAACATAATTGGAGCTAATAAAGGAGGCATTACTAAGATGACTTTGTATAATTTTTTACTTAAAGGGAAAAAGGTCATATTCTAATAATAACAAAATGGGCTTTTTGCTTTAAATGTTAGAAAAAAAGCAAACACTACTCAAAGTAAGTTGAATTGTATTTTCTTCTTGATAATACTAAAAGACTGATCTTAATTCAAGTAATGATCAACCTATGAAAATTTATAAAGGGAAACCTCTCTAAAATGCAGTCAGGGCCATACCACTGGATCAATTACAGGAAGACCTATCAGTTACAGACCCCAAGAGAAGACTTCTCAGCAGGAAAGAATCAGCAATTATAGGTCCTAACAGGAAAAGATGTACTTTGCACCTCCTATAATAAATCTACTACCCCAGCCAATGAAAAACCATCATTACCCCAAACTCTTGCTTTTCAAAACAATCCTTCCCAACCTCTTTCTCCTTTTCCACAAAATAACATTCCTTTCCTTTGTTTGCTGGACTTGCCTAGGGTTTTTGCCATAGCTTGCTTGTCCCAAATTGCTATTCCTGAATAGGAATAAGGTCACCATACCATAATAGAAGCTGGTTGATGACAATAAAGGAAAATTCCCAAGGAAAACAGTATAATTACTGAAGCTTAGATCTTATTTTCTAACAAACAGATGCTAAGATGCAAATAAAAACATGGTCTTTCTGGGGCCCCTGGGTGGCTCAGTCTGTTAAGCGTCTGCCTTCAGCTCAGGTCATGATCCCAGGGTCCTGGGATCCAGTCCTGTGTCTGGTTCCTTGCTCAGCAGGGAGCCTGCTGCTCCCTCTTCCTCTGCTGCTCCCCCTGGTTGTGCGTGCTCTCTCTCTCTCTCTCTGTCAAATAAATAAACAAAATCTTTAAAAAAAAGAAAAAAAAACATGGTCTCTCTGATTCATAGTTCTTAAAATATAGCTACTATTTTTTTTGTGATGTTCTTTTAGAAGAGTAATTTATCCCGCTAGGAAAATTAGGGACAATTTCAATTTGAGCACTGAGAAAGACAAATCATCCCCGGTACAGTACTCCTCCCCAAAATATTTAACCTGAATCTAATCATGGGGAAATAAATCAAGACAACCGCAAAATGCAGAATCGTCTAATAAACTGGTCTATACTTCTGAAAACTGTCAATGCCATGAATAACATGCTCTAGATTAAAAGAGACCAGTCAATAAACAAATAAATAGAGACTAGACAGACTGACTGCTAAATGCAATGCCTCACGTTTGGATGCATTCTGGATTGGGAAAAAAGTGATTAATGACTGAGATAAGAGGAATATTGAAGATTAAGTATTAGAAAATATTACTGTATTAATGTTAAATTTCCTCTGTGATATGTGCAGTGTGTTTATGTAAGAGAATTCTCCTTTCTTTTGGAGATAATGCTGAAGTATTTAGGGACAACAGGTTACTATGTCAAACCATCCCTTTTAACCGGGTCAAAAAAAGAGTTTGTAAAGAAAGGCAATCAGGTGTTCCATGTACTACTCTTGCAGCTTTTTAAGTATGTTTTGAAGTATTTCAAACCAAAAAGGCAAGAAGGAGAAGCAATTGAGCCACAAAAATGAAGTAAAAGATCTTTTAGAATTCACATTTACAAGTCAGCTTTTGCCACAGTCTTAAAGAAAGTTGCACTGAAAATGTCCTTAAAGGGCTAAGATTTCGGGCGCCTGGGTGGCTCAGTAGGTTAAGCATCTGGCTTCGGCTCAGGTCATGATCCCGGGGTCCTGGGATTGAGTTCCACATCAGGCTCCTTGCTCAGCGGGGAGCCTGCTTCTCCCTCTGGCTCTGCCCCCCCTGCTTGTGTGTGCTCTCTCTCTCTCTAACAAAAAAAAGAAAGAAAGAAGAAAGAAAGAAAGTAAGCAAGCAAGCAGGCGCCTGGGTGGCTCAGTTGTTAAGTGTCTGCCTTCGGCTCAGGTCATGGTCGCACGGTCCTGGGATCGAGTCCTGCATCGGGCTTCCTGCTCGGCAGGAAGCCCGCTTCTCCCTCTCCCCCCGCCTTGCTTGTGTTCCCTCTCTTGCTTTGTCTCTCTGTGTCAAATAAATAAATAAAATCTTAAAAAAAAAGAAAATTTAAGGAAGAAAGAAAGAAAAGAAAAGAGCTAATATTTCCTACCGTGACTATGGCCAAGACTTTGCATCAAGAGGCCACACAAAAAAATGAAAACAAAAACTTGTTTAACAATAAAGGTAACTCGGGGCACCTGCGTGGCTCAGTAGGTTAAGCATCTGCCTTTGGCTCAGGTCATGAGCGGAGCCTGGCAAGGAGCCTGCTTTTCCCTCTGCCTCTACCCCTCCCCTTGCTTGTGCTCTCTCTGTCTCTCTCGAATGAATAAATAAAATCTTAAAAAAAAAAAAAAGGAATAAAGCTGTAAATTCCTGAGAGCAGGAACTGTGGGTTCTAATTTTGTTTATAACCCTCTAGTATTTTGTACACAACAGAAGTCGAATGGGCACTAGCCACAACCTGGAATGAAGAAGGAAAGTGAACCTTTATACTGTATTGAAAAAAGATTTAAACCAGAGGACAGAGAGAGTTGCTGTTACCTTTCCTTGACAAAGTGGTTAACTATTAACCACAGATGTCTGCCGAAAAAATACTAGGAAATTTTACCCCAGTAAAACAATATTCCTGTAATTATAACTTAGGAAACCCGTAAAATTCTACAGACTGAGGAACACTTACTACAAACAAAATACACTTTATTATTTTTATTTTTGTAAGCCTAATTACCTTTAACAGATTCCTTTATTACAGTTACAAACTGAAGCCAGAGAACATCGGGATCAATTTCAACCCAGCCAGCTTGAGGATAAAGATTTTCTATCTATTTAGAAAAAGAAAATGTAGTAAAAACAACATTAGATCAAGTCAATAATATCTGGGTCTTAAAATTTTTTAAATGGTTAAAATGATTACAACATGATTTCATTTATTATCAAATTCATTTTTATTGTTAAAATCGAAAATATGAAATAAAAAGTTTTCCTCAGTTCATGAATTTACAGAAAATTTTAGCTTTCTTTACCTTTACTTTCCAAGTGTTCTATAATTGAAGACGTACTATTTTTATGAGAAAAATTTTTTTAAAAAACAAAAATTAACAAAGTACCAAGTTCTGATTCAGACTATGATGGAGGAAGCACACTCCACCCTGTCTCCACCACTGAATGCATGTGGACTCTAAAAAGTCTATAGGGGCAGGAAGATGGGGGAAGATAAGAATTCCAGTACTACTAACTGGTGTGAGTTTCCCATTTTTTTCCTGACATTCCCTGGCCTGGACTCAAGGAAGTCCATAAAACCACAAGTGGGTACCAGGATCAGCGGAAACTCCAGAAGCTCTCATGTTTTGGCTAACACTCAGAGAGAACGGGAGAAGTCCCCCATATATCTTTTTTTCTCCCGCTTGCCTCCATACTTTTGTACCCAGGCTATCTTGTAGTAGTGGTTGCACCAGTAATCTCAAGTACCTAAAATCCTGAAGGAGGTAAAACTTCTCCAACTAGAGGAGGTGTGGCCCAAGACCGCCATGTTTTGGGGTTTTTTTTGTTTTGTTTCTGTCTCTGCTTTTGATGTGTAGCCCCAGCTGTGGGCATAGGAAGTGCCGGCAGAGTAGGGTAATGAAAGCTCCAGCTTTCTGGCAAGAGGAGCCAAAAGGGGAAACTCAGGGAACCAAAAAGTACCAGGACAATCTCAGAGAGGGAGGAGCTTGGGAAAGCTTCTCCGGAAAGTTGCGTATGAATTCCGAAGCTCACCTCGAAGCTGTACCTGTGTGAACATAATCTAAACAGCATAGCAAAGATGTAAAGAACTAAGGGACAGACCCCTACCCAGGTGCCAGACTGGCTACTGGGTGGCACATTCACAGGGCAGATGCAAACAGTACTGCCAAGATTTTGGAAATGACAAACAATGAAACCAAAGTCCACAAGAAGACTGGTAGAATTTGTAGCTTGAACCCAACTGCATTAATTGCCTGGTAAAAGAAAAATACCAACATTCATCATAGGATTTACACAAGACCCTGAGTCTTATAACACTGTATTCAAAATGTCCATGATATAATCTGAAATTACCAGGTATATGAAGAACTAGAAAAATCTCACCTCACATGGGAAAAGATAACAGATACCAATGCCAAGATGACAGATACCTGATCAAGACTTCACAAGCAGCTATTATAAAAATGTTCCAAGAAGAAAGGGCAAATTCTTTTGAAACAAATGGCAAGATAGAAAGTCTCAGCCAAGAAATATAAGACAAAAAGAAACCAAAATAAAATTTTTAGAATTGAAAAATATAATAATTAGGAGAATGGGAGAAATGGAGAGATGCTGGTCAAGGGGAGTACAAACTTTCAGTTATAAGATGAATAAATTCTGGAGACCTAATATACAGCATGGTGACTACAGTTAATAATAATGTATTATACACCTGAAATTTGCTAAGAGGGCAGTTCTCAAGTGTTAACACACACACACACACACACACACACAAATAGTAACTATGTAAGGTAATGGGTACGTAATCATTTTACAATGTATATGTGCACCAAAACATCATGTTGTACACCTTACCTGTATGCAACTTTTATTTGTCAATCATACCTCAATAAAGCTGGAAAAATCAATTTAAAAAAGAAAAATATAATAATTAAAATAAAAAACATACTGGATGGGCTCAGTAGTAGAATAAAAATAACAGGAGAAAGTCAGTAAACCAAAGACAGATCAATAGAATTTATCTAACTTAAATAACAGAAAGAAAAAATATTGGAAAAAAAAAGAATGAATAAAACCTCAGGGATCTATGAGACAGGAGCAAAGGGTCTAGTATTTATGTCATCAGAGTCCCCAAAGAAGGAAAGAAAAGAGTTCAGTGCAAAACAAAAAAAAAAAATTACTTCAGGGAAGTAATAGTGCTAAAAACTTTCCAAGTTCAGTGGAAGATTTAAAATCTGTATATTCAAGAAACTTAGAAGACTCCTAAAAGGATAAGTCCGAAACATTACACATTCAGATCCAGCATAATTAAAATGCTGAAAACCAAAAACTAAGGAAAAATCTTGAAAGGAGCCACACATGTTACATATATAAAACAATGATTCTGTATGGCTGCAGATTTCTCATCAGAGCCATGGAGGCCAGGAGGAAGTGGCTCAACATTTTTAAAGTGCTAAAGAAATGCCATCTACAATTGTATATCAAAATCCCCCAGTAGAATTTTTGTAGATACAGACATGATGATTCTAAAATTTATAGGAAAAAGCAGAAGAACTAAAATAACCCAAACAATGTTGACAAAGACTAAAACTGGAGGAACCACACTACATAATTTTAAGACTTAATATAATGTTACATTAATCAAAACAGTGTGCTACTAGCATAAAAACAGACAAATAGGGGGCGCCTGGGTGGCTCAGTTGGTTAAGCACCCGACTCTTGATTTTGGCTTAGGTCATGATCTCAGGGTCCTGAGATCCAGCCTGGAGTTGGGCTCAGTGCGGAGCACGGAGCGGAGTCTGTTTGTTCCTCTCCCTCCCCGCACTTGCACTCTCTCTCTCTCCCCCTCTAAAATAAATAAAATCTTTTAAAAAAAAAATAGACAAATAGGTATCAATGGAACAGAGTCCAGAAACAGACTGACACAAATAAAGCTAATTCATTTTTGACAAGTGTATACAAGGCAATTCAGTGCGGGAAAAAAAATAGCTTTTTCAACAGTTGGAACAATCAGACATCTATATGCAAAAAAATTAACTTCAACCTCACATCTTAAACAAAACTTAACTCAAAATTGATCACAGATCTAAATTTAAGACATAAAACTGCAAAATGTTCAGATGAAAACACAGGAAAAAAATCTTTGTGATGTGGGGTTAGGTGAAGAGTTCTTAGACATGACACCGAAATTACCATTCACAAAACAGAGAAATTGATAAATTGGACTTCATCAAAATTAAAAACATTTGCCCTGCAAAAGACACAGTTAAGAAAATGAAAAGACAAAGCACAGACTGATTTAAAATATCTGTAAATCACACATCCAACACAGGACTTACATTCAGAATATATGAAGAAATCTCAAAATTCAACAGTAAGAAAACAACCCAATTAAAAATTGAGCAAAAGACTTGAACAGGCACTTTGCCAAAGAAGATATATATGGATAGCAAATATGCATAGAGAAATATTCAACATCACTAAAACATTAGGGAAATGCAAATCAAAACCACAATGAGATACCACTACAACTATCAGAATGCATAAAATAAAAAACACTAACAATTTCAAGTGTCAGTGAAGAACATGTGGAACTCTTACACATTGCTGGTGGAAATGCAAAATGGTACAGCCACTCTAGAAAAGCATGGCAATTTTTTGTTAAGTTAAACATTAACTTACTATATGACCCAACAGTACCACTCTTGGGTATTTATTCTAGAGAAAACGAAACTTAGGTTCACATTAAAATCTGTACACAAATATTTATAGCAGCTGTAGTCACAATCACCAGAAACATGGATATAACCCAAATGTACTTCAACTGGTGAATGAATGTGGCACATCGGTCTAATGGGTTACTACTTAGAAATAAAAAGGAATGAACTACTGATATAATAATATGGACAAATCTCAAAAGCATTATGCTGAAAAAAGCCAGTCTCCAAAGGCTACTGACTGTATTGTTCCACTTATAAGACATTCTCAAAAAGACAAAACTATGGACACGGAAAATTGATCAGTGTTAGGTATGGGAGGGGTATGACTACAAAGGGCTAGCATGAGGGAGTTTTTTGGATTACTCCTACATGGGCTAAAAATCACAGAACTTATTCACCAAAAAGGCAATTTTACTGTAAGTTACTGAAAACATGAAAAGAAGCCATGGCTTCAGTTTAACATGATATGGCTTAAACCTACATATCATCTCCAATTCCTCTCAAGATTCCATTAAAATAAAAACGTTAAAAGGGTTTATGCAGAGAGACAATGCTAAGAGAGCAAACAGGCTCAGGCCAGGTTTTAACAAAATGTTTTTAATATGAGCAGTGAGTGGGTTGGTGGCACATGGCTAAACAGAGGAGAAAACTGGTACTTCACTCCCTGCTCAGATGACACCACATCTTTGCTCCACCCCTGGCAGAGATTCTATGGTAAAATCCTGAAAAGTAGAGGTACCTCCAAAGACTGGGATGCCAGATGGGGCTGAACACAAGATTGGTTCAAAGTCTTTATAAGGATCCCCAATCCCCAATCCCTTCCTCCAGCCAGATCACTGCCCCTCCCTAACCAGGCAAAAGGTAAAAGGTTTACTCTCCAAAGGGACTGAACCAGAAGAATGCTTTCTTTGCAAATACCAGATATAGCTGAGTAGGGTAAGACTACTGAGTGGTACTGAAAATAGGAACAACTGGGGCGCTCAGTGGGTGGCTCAGTCGTTAAGCGTCTAGTCTGCCTTCAGCTCAGGTCATGATCCCAGGGTCCTGGGATCGAGCCCCGCTTCGGGCTCCCTGCTCGGCGGGAAGCCTGCTTCTCCCTCTCTCACTCCCCCTGCTTGTGTTCCCTCTCTTGCTGTGTCTCTCTCTGTCAAATAAATAAATAAAGTCTTTAAAAAAAGAGAAAATAGGAACAACCAAAAACCACCAAAGATCTAACATGTAAGAAAAGACCAAAATAAAGAAAAGGAATGCTGAGGAAACAGTGACCATGTGGGAAGCAGGAGGGTGACAAGGTCTGATATGAAAAAAGGATCTACTACTTGCTGGTGAGTTCCCAGAGACAGACTTAACAAAATCTATTCCCCTTCTATCAAATAATATTTGTTTTTTCTATGCAAGACTTTCATGACCACAGACGAATGCCTCAACTGCAGTAAACACTTCCTCATCCCAAAAAACTCAAAAAACTTAAAGATGGCGCTGCAGGGTCACTCCCCTCCACTCCACCAGCCCAGAGAGCTCACTATCCCCAAACATGTCACAATAGTGAAATCTCCTCCTGTACCAAAGGAAGACCAAACCAAAATTAGACAACAGGATAACCAAAGCTAAGAAGATTTGTTTTGCTGATTACAAACAAAACAAAAGACAGCAAACAACCAGAATTTTTCAAGACTATCCAGAAGGGTACACAGTAGAACAGATTATACTGTTCTCCTTGGACTGGCCTTTCTGTCCTGTTCTTCCAACCAAGATGTTATTATTCTTCATGGTTTCTCACATATAGCGTCATGTTCCAATGGGAAACATGATAAACTTTCTCCTTAAAACTAGAAACATCAAATATTGACGTGTGGATTTTCAAATCTGAATACTATTCTGGTATAACACCAATACTTAAGAATCTATACAAAGATTTTTTAAAAATACAAATTATAAAAAATAAAATAAAAAATACAAATTTTAGGGGTGCCTGGGTGGCTCAGTCGTTAAGTGTCTGCCTTCGGCTCAGGTCGTAATCCCAGGGTCCTGGGATCAAGCCCCTCATCGGGCTCCCTGCTCAGCAGGGAGTCGGCTTCTCCCTCTCCCACTCCCCCTGCTTGTGTTTCCTCTCTCGCTGTATCTCTCTCTGTCAAATAAATAAATAAAATCTTAAAAAAAATACAAATTATAGAAAAAGTCTAAAAATGTATCTCTGCTATTAAAAAACGAATGCCACAAGAAATAAAACTGGTCTTCTGAGAGGCCTAGTACTAGCTTCTTAACGTAAAGGGTTCATGTTTGGGACTTCAATTTTAATTAAAAGAGCAATACAGCCTATTATGTTATCTCTAAGGGTGATCTCTTCACTTTTTCTTTCTCTGTCTCTCTTTTAAACTATTTATGTGGCAATATCAGTCAAATCCTATACTAAGAGGTTTTGGGTTTCTATTATATATAGTCTTATCATCATATTAGCAGAGATGTGATTTTCACTTGAGAAAATAAAAGTTCTGTGTCCAATCCAGTTTCATGAAGCAAACTGAATTCCTAATACTTCGATTAATGCAATTCAATGATTTATTCTGTACCCATGAGGTAATAAATCAGGTACTAAGTAGCAATGTAGGCCAAGAACCTTTTCCTCAAAGAACTTCAAGTATCCAAGGGTGCCTGGGTGGCTTAGTTGTTAAGCGTCTGCCTTCCACTCAGGTCATGATCCCATGGTGCTGGGATCGAGCCCCGCATCGGGCTCCTTGCTCAGCAGGAAACCTGCTTCTCCCTCTCCCACTCCCCCTGCTTGTGTTCCCTCTCTCGCTGTCTCTATCTCTGTCAAACAATAAATAAAATCTTTAAAAAAAAAAATTACTCCAGCTATCTGAAGTAAATGACCAATTTCCGGTTGTTCTTTTCTAATTTCTAATTCGTTATGGACCAACAATTTTTAAGACACAATCAAAACAATTTTCTAGGAAAAAATTACATACAAAATAGAATCCCAAATGTTTCATTTTTAAGATCAGCAGACATAAAACTACTCTAGTAAACTGCTACACAAGTTTCTAAATCTTAATTTCTTCATCTCTACCCCAGATGCCCAGGAACTACACTTTAAGAAGCACTGCTATATGATAGGGTACCTGGGTGACTCAGTAGGTTAAGCATCTGGCTCCGGGTCAGGTCATGATCCCGGGGTCCCGGGGTCCTGGGATCGGGTCCCATATGGGGTTTCTTGCTCAACGGGGAGCCTGCTTCTCCCTCTGCCAGCTCTGCCTGGTGCTCCCCCTGCTTGTGCTCTCTCTCTCTCTGACAAATAAAATCTGAAAGAAAGAACGAAAGAATGAAAGAAAGAAAGAAAGAAAGAAAGAAAGAAAGGAAGAACAGAACTGCTATGAACTCTTACCACAGTTGGAGAGCCATTGCTATAAACTCCTTAATCTAAGTGTTTCATCCTTTGAGGGCAGGGACTTTTTATATTTTTAACTCATATCTTTCCAGACACTTTCCGGCTGAGAGTCTAAGCAAGCCATTCTAGTCTCCTGCTACTCACAGCAATCTTGATTCATCGTTTAGATTCCTACCTCATTTCTAAAAAACTAATCATTTGCCCCAAATTATACAGCAACTGAAAAACTTTGTATTTTCTTTTTTTTTTTTTTAAAGATTTTATTTATTTATTCATGAGAGAGAGGGAGGGAGGGAGAGAGAGAGAGAGAGAGAAGCAGAGGGAGAAGCAGGCTCCCAAGGAGCAGGGAGCCCGATACGGGACTCGATCCCAGGACCCTGGGATCATGACCTGAGCCGAAGGCAGACACTTAACCATCTGAGCCACCCAGGCACCCTAAAACTTTGTATTTTCTGACAATCCACGTCTCCCTTTGGTTCCAAATATTTCAATTAAAAAAATCACTGCCTAAAACAAAAGTACTTTGTGTCTAGAATTATGAGGAAGACTGTGTGAAAAGTATCATTGTGTTGTGATAAAGATTCAAAAAGATAGACACACACAGTCGCCAAAGGACAGAGTTCTTTCAGGTTGGGGGAGGGATGGCGTGTGTAGGGTGGGTGGGCAGTGTTTCTGCACAGGTAGCCAGAGAAGGGCCCAGAGAAGGCCCCAGCTGCTTAGTCCCAGCTCACTGTTCTGGTCCAGAAGCCAGAATGAAATGAAACTCCCCCATTTTCTCAACGCAGTCACTTGGATAGATCTGCCCCTGGGCAACTGCTACGGTTAAAAACACTGTTTAAGTGGTTGGGAAGAAGGGTGAGAACTGAACAAACGGAGAACCCAGTGCTGCTGGGTGGGAATGGGTTAGGTATCTAATGGTTCCTAAAACTGCTAACATGAAAAGACGCTGATATTGGAAAGAAGGGTAAGAACACCACATCCAATCAACATTATTTTTGGTGCGCACGCAGAAATCAACACTTCATTAAATTAGAACAGAAGAGCACCAATCTGTTGGTTGCTTTACTAATAAGAAGTAAGGATTTGGTAGGTTTTCTCAAACCAGAAAAAGGTATTTTTATCAATGCTCAAAGATGGAAAGGAGAAAAGTAATGACAATACAGCCTTCAAAACTTGTCCAGTTCCTCTAATATCCATGAAAATCAGTCGCTCAGATAAGGAACCAGCACTTTGAGAAGCAGTTAATAATGACAACTGAGGAACGGACAATAAATTCTATCAAGATCTGAAACATTTAAATGTAAATAAAGACGGGGTTGGAAGTCTACCGAGGAAGACCCAGCAAGTCACAAAGCACCTTCTGGTTGGATACGCGCGGCGTGCTCTGCCCTGCCCTGCGAGTCTCCGCAGTCCCACCCAGGAAAGGCGAATCTGCAGGTGATAGAAGCGAGAGAAGGACCCCTGGTCACAAACCGAACCCCTCCTGCCCTCAGCCAGAACAGAAAGGGCGCCCAGGTTTCAGCCCTGCCCTGCGAGGCAATACTGAGATCTGGCCGCTCCCCGCCCGCCGCTGAGGACCAAGGGCCCGCCGGTGCTGCAGGTGGCTGCATTCTGGCTGGATGTCGCGGACCCGGCCGCTCGCCTCCCGCGACTAGATCCGGGGTGCTCTGTGCGACCCTGACCCGCGGCCCCGACGCCCGCTCCCCGGTCACCTTCTGCACGCTGGAGCCGCGAATCAGCGTCGCGTGGTCATAGACGTGGCAGCGGATCACCGAGCTGCCCACGTCCAGCCCCAACACAAAGCGTGCGGGAGACGGGCCCGCCGCGCTCTGCTCCGGGCGCCTCTGCTCCTGGACCGCGCGCACCCCCAACATCCCGACCCTGCAAGCCTCTCCGCAACACCCGCGTGCGGAGAGGGCGCGTTTACAAAGGCCCGCACTTTAGGGGCCGAGCGCGCCCCGCGGGGCCGCACCCCCTGGCCCTCCCCTCCGCGAGATCCGGGAAGCGCCCCGCCCCTGCCACGGGGCCCGCCCCAACGCCGTGACGTCACGGCTGCGCAGAAACCCTTTCGAGGGCGTGTGCTGGGACTGGGCGGCCGCGTGGGGCTTTTGGAGGTGGGCGAGTTCACAGAAACGGTGTCCGTGTTTCTTTTAACCTTAGTTGCATTTAATGAATATCTATTAAAAAAAATAAAGTGGGGCGCCTGGGTGGCTCCGTCGTTAAGCGTCTGCCTTCGGCTCAGGTCATGATCCCAGGTTC